GAGAGAGAGAGAGATGCCCAAAAAATATGCTCATAGTTCATGGATTTTTCTGTGTGTGCGTGCACATATGCATGTGTTTGTGCTATTAAGTAATGACCGTAAGAGAGACGAAGTATCTATCGGCAATTTTAAGGAATGTAGGTTGCTAACACCATAGATTACTATGGTCGTCTGAGAAGATTAGGAAGCATAAGAGAACAAAAGAAAATTACTACAAGATGAAAACTATTGAATAGCTTGGGCTATAGACTAAAAACCAAAAAATTCCTTGAAGAAAACAATGAATGATTAAATTTACTCTTTCACAAGTGTTTGGCTTTCACATTCATTTCTGCTACGAGTGTTTTCTGAAACAAAGAAATAGAAGAAATCAGTTGTAATTCTATGTTTCTTTTCTCTGTAATTGGTTAACCACTCCTATGTTTCTAGCAGGGCAGATGCCTAAGCATTTCACATTTGTTGCTGCTACTGGTGTCTCCCGAAACAAAGAAATAGAAGAGTCAGCAGTGATTTCATGTTTCTTCTTATCTGGTTAACCACTCCTATGTCTCTAGGAGGGCAGAAGCCTAAACATTCGTAGTTGACATGGATGCTGACTTTACATGTCTATGTCCTTGAATAATATGTTTTCTTTTTTAATTATCCATGCTTACACTCCATGAAAGTTTATCTGTGTAGGTGTGTTTATTACATTAATGATCTCAATACATAAGTTGATCTTTTAGTCTGGTTTTAATGATGCTGATTAGAACCATTCTTACATAGTTTGAATTTGCATGATCAATTGAATGGAGGAATAATATGTGCAGAGTTTGGGTTGACTGGGATGGAAATGAACAGTTAGGTGATTTTCTTGGTTTTTTGAGAATAGTGGAGTTATTAACATTGCTTTAGTTTAGTGAAATGTGTTTACTCGCGGGGGAATTTTGTAGTTTGCATCAATTACTGTGATGGGATATGTAACAACATAGAGATTTACATAGTTCTGGTTTAGTGAGATGTACCAAATAGTTGGAAATTGTGGGTTTGCATAAGTTACTGAGAGGGGAAACACTACTCTTTGCATATTAATTTGATTTTCCTAGTGTCTGTCTTGAATGATGTGTTCTAGTCATTTTTCATTATTTGTGGTTTAGTGAGATGAACTGAATAGTAGGTGATTTTTGAGTGTTGCTTGAATTGCTGAGATAGAACTGAATAAAGTGGTAAGAAACTATTGTGTTAATTTGGTTTTCCAAATGTCTGATTTTTATAACACTAGTTATAACTACTCTTAGATGGTTGTGGTTTAGTGATGAACTAATAATGGGTACATTTGAGTTTTGCTTGACTCATTGAGATAGGAGATCAATCAGATAGTGGGAAAATATTTTTGAATTAATTTGGTTTTCAAATTTGGGTATTATTATATTATTACACTAGTTAGAATTCTCCTTTGCATGTTTGTAGTTTACTGAGATGAACCCAATAGTGGGGCAACTGATTGATCTTTGGCTTGAATTGCTGAGATAGGAGGTGATAGAGAGAGATAATGCAATGAAAGAGATCGAAAAGAATTTGATGGAGCTGCATCAGATATTTTTGGACATGGCAGTTTTGGTTGAGGTTCAGGGGGAAGAGATCGATAACATCGAGCATAATATGGTGAAGGCAGGTGCATATGTTCGTGATGCTACAAAGAATCTTCAGGTTGCAAAGGAGTACCAGAGTGGAAGAAACAAATGCAGGGTCATAGGTGGGGCTCTCTTGCTGGTTTTTGTTTTTGTGTTGCTTATTTCCACCATTGTAAGTTTGAGCACATCTTAGGATTAGGATGAGTGCTAACTCTGTTGATGAGAGCTAAGCTCTGTTTTGGAGGTTGGTTTTTGGTTGCACCATGGTTGTCTACTCTCTCTCTCTCTCACACACACACACACATCCTGGTTCTTATATCTGCCATGTATTCTGTTTTGGTTGCTGGCAATTCATAATTCTTTGGTTGCTCTCTCTCTCTCTCTCTCTCGATGTAACAAATGGTGTTTGGTTGGTTCCTTTGTGTGTTTATGTGGTTCTATAACTGCTGTGACCTGTCTCAACACACCACACCAACTAGACATGAGAAATAATGCGACATATCCTATTTTATTTTTATTTTTATTCACTATTCTGCATTTGACAACTACATTTCAGCACTTTTGAAAATATAAATAACCTGTTGAATCAGTTGAGAAAACCCCAGTAAAATGATTTTCTGGATGACTGGATTGGGGCGGCACACCGGTTGTAGGCTTCTCTTTCAATGAAATGATTGGGCAGACACATGCGTGGGTGGATTTGCCTCGGTGAATATATCGCCTTAAATTGAGTTGCAATGCATCTCACTGCAGATCAGAAATTCTGGCAAAATTTTGTTTTTAAAGCGAATAATACCTATATGCACACAGCTTTTTCTGAAGTGGACAATGCCTTTTGAACTCTTACTGAGTTTTCTGCAGTTGCATTTTAGAAGAAGGGTAGGGTTGGGTTGTGTTAGCACCACACTTATTCAACGTGCTAGATATTTGTGGTTTACTGAAATGAACCCAATAGTGGGGCACCTAGTTGATCTTTGGCTTGAATTGCTGAGATGGGAGGTGATAGAGAGAGATAGTGCAATTAAAGAGATAGAAAAGAATTTGATGGGGCTGCAACAGATACTTTTGGACATGGCAGTTTCGGTTGAGGGGCTTAGGGGGAAGTGATCGATAACATCAAGCACATTGTGAAGGCAGGTGCATATATTCGTGATGCAACAAAGAATCTTGAGGTTGCAAAGGAGTATCAGGGTGGAAGAAACAGATACCGGGTCATAGGTGGGGCTCTCTTGTTGTTTTTCGCTTTTGTGTTGCTTATTTCCACAGTGGTAAGTTTGAGCACATCTTAGGACTAGGATGAGTGCGAACTTTGTTGATGAGAGCTGAACTCTGTTTTGGAGTTTGGTTTTTGGTTGCAACATGGTTGGCTCATTTCTCTCCCTCTCTCTCTCTCTCACACACACACACATCCTGGTTCTTATATCTGCCATGTATTCTGTTTTGGTCGCTGGCAATTCATAATTCTTTGGTTGCTCTCTCTCTCTCTCGATGTAACAAATGGTGTTTGGTTGGTTCCTTTGTGTGTTTATGTGGTTCTTATTGTTCTATAACGGCTGTGACCTGTTTCAACACACCAAACTAACTAGACAAGAGAAATTCTATTTTATTTTCACTGTGCTACATTTGACAGCTACATTTCGGCGTTTCTGAAAAGATAAATAATCTGTTGAATCAGTTGAGAAAACCCCAATAAAATGATTTTTCGGATGACTGGATTGGGGCGGCAACACCGGTTCTCTCAATGAAATGATGGGGCAGACACATGCGTGGGTGGATTTGCCTTGTTGAATATAACAAAGTAGCAAAGCCTTAAATCGAGTAACAGTGCATCTCGCTGCAGATCAGAAATTCGACAAAAATTTTGTTTTTTATTGGCTTGAATTGCTGAGATAGGGGGTGATAGAGAGTCCTTGGCATCATTGTGGCTTTATTTGCCCTTGTTTTTAGTTTGTTACCTTGAAGAAGGGAGCACATTTTGGTATTACCGTAAGTCACTTAAGTCAAACAATGTAAATACCAATATTTGTTTTGGGTAGTGGTTTAAAAATCGGCGAGTCGCAACGGACTAGCTTGAGTTGGCATTGGAATTGTTGACTCTGAGCCGATTTTTGCGTAAAATCGAAAATGTTGCGATTTGCCCAAGTTGGCATGGGAATCGGTGACCTCGAGCCGATATTTGTGTAAATCAAAAAATCGCCCGGTTTTAGAGTAGAATCGTCGGTTTTGAGAGCGTGTGAATACATTTCGCGTGTGTTGCACGAGCCGCCCTCATGACATCATCATGCTCCGCGCATGTGATTACATCTTGTGTGTCGCACGAACGGCCGGTATGACGTCACAAGATATGTTGTGGCTGACGTCACCATGCTCCACTAGTGTGAATACATCTTGTTCCGTGTATGTGAATACATCTTGCTCCACGTGTGTGAATGCATCTCGCGTGTGTCGTGCGTGTACAAAAATCGAATGTGCACTGTGCATAGTTCCCATCCCAACATATCAAGTTGATAGTTCAATTATTTATATACGCAAAGTTTGTCCTACCTCTTTTCGATGTGGGAAAATTCTCAATGCCCAACATTGAGATGTTAAATCAATATATTGATTTATTATAGCATAATATACTAAATGTAGTGCAGCGGAGAGTTGGTTATCATGTTAGATTTCGATATTGGAGGTCTCAGGTTTGAACCTCTGTTAAATTTTTTCCTTTTGTCACATGTCATAAAAAGTAGTTAAATTTTATCTTTTTGTCTGATAAAAAATAGTTTAATTTTTTCATTTTGTCAAATGTTATAAAAGATAGTTTTTCTTTTGTCAAATAATGTCAAAAAAAAAATGTGTTTTTTTTTTCTTAAATAATATCATAAAAAATAATATCAAGGAAGAAAATATTGTCATAAAAAAAAAATAAAGTGGAAAAAAATAATGTCATAAAAAAAAGAAAAAAAAAAGCGTCATATTTTTATCTTCTCAAAAAAATATAAGGCAAAAAAATAATATCATCAAAAAAAATGAAAGGAAAAAAAAATAATATAAATGAAGAAATAATGTCATGAAAAAAAAATAAAGAGAAAGAAAATAATGTCATAAAAAAAAGAAATATTTTATTTTTATTTTTATCTTCCAAAAAAATAAAAGGAAAATAATAATATCATTCAAAAAATAAAAGGAAAAAATTGAAATAAAAGATAATACAACAAACATTTCTTGTCGAAAAATAATTTATCTTCTAAAAAAAATAAAAATAAGAAAATAATATCATCAAAAAAATAAAATAAAAAAATAAAATAAAAGATAATACAATAATTCGAGATTTTAGTGGCCATTTTTTTATCAATTTAATCCATTATTTATTGTAGTCCATATATGACTATATATTTTATCAATGATGATTCTATGATTTTTCTTTTATGTAATGCAAATTTAATGGTTAACATAAGTTCAAACAGGGAAAGAACATCTCAATATTCGTAAATTGATAAAAAAAAATGAAATAATAATGTAGTACCCATATTTTTTGTTGGATTCTTAAAAAACAACATTTATAATGAATTTTAATAGTTTTTTTGGATTTTTTTTAAGGTTTAATCAGATCGATTCACCGATCCGAATGGGTTTTTGAGGTGCCCGATCCAGGACTCCGATCCGTTCTCTAAACCACTGGTTTTGGTTTTAAAATTAGAGTAATGATCCTATGAGACCCTCCCACATCCATGTGTATAGGACCATAAAGGATCACTATTAAATTTGGCACAGATTTCCAAAAAAATTATCACATGGGTGTGGAACTTGACTTTTCTAGAGATCTGTGCCAAATTTAATGATGATCCTTTGGGGCTTACACACATGGGTATGGGAGGGTCTCACAAGGTCACTTCCCTTAAAATTATAACAAAATATTTTGAATAATGATCCTATGAGACCCTCCCATACCCATGTGCGTAGGATCCAAAGGATCAGTATAGACTTTGGCACATATCTTTAAAAAAGTTATTACATGGTTATTGGTCTTGATTTTTCTAGAGATCTGTGTCAAATTTAATGGTGATCCTTTGAAGTCCTACACACGTGGATGTGAAAGAGAGTCATAGGATCATTACTCAAATCTTTTACCAATAATCTCATTGACTGGAATTGAGAAACAACGTGGCATATCAATAATTTTGCCCCCCTTATGTCACCCAAGCCAAAAGATGTAAACTATTGCTTGTTCTAGATTTAAATTCTAGAATAAGATTTTTAATAAGGAAAACATGTTCTACGTTTGGACTTTGGAACAAGCGTGGGCATTTAGGTCAAGTGGCTCAAACAACTTAAGTGACCAATTCTAAATGCCTCACTTGGTTATGATTCAAAACCCAGAATAACAACAATTTAGGTATTTTTTAAGACGATTGGGAAGGCAGCCAAGTGAAATACGTTTTTAAAAGTAATCACTTTGCTGCAAATTAGGATTTTTGAAAATTTTATCAAGTCACAATGCTCTTTTTGAAAATTTTATCATCTCACACTTGGTGTTTAACACCTCATACACATTTTTGATCTAATTTCAAATAGTCTGTTACTCTTTTAATCAATTTTTAAGTAGCCCATCAAATGGCACATCATTGTTGGTTTTTAAATGTATCAAATGACATCCATTTTATTTGTTGGTTTTTAAATTTATCAAATGATATCCATTTTATTTGTGGATGACATAGTTTTGATTGATGAGACTAAAGATAGTGTAAATGTAAAGAACTTTGGAGAGATACTTTAAAATAAAAAAGTTTTAAACATAGCAAGAGTAAGATAAAATATATAAAATGCAAGTTTAGTAGTAAAATGAATTGAAACGAGGAATTAGTTAATATTGATGACTAAGAACTACCTAAAAGAAATTATTTCAAGATCTTGGGTTGATATTATATGAAAAAAGAGATATTGAGGAAGATATTGCTCACAGAATTAGAGTTGGGAGGACGAAGTGGAGATGTGCTTTGAGAGTCTTATGCAATCGTCGCATACCAATGAAATTGAAGGGTTCTTTTTGTAGAACGACTGTAAGACCAACAATTTCTTAGGATGGAATGCTGGGCAGTCAAAAAATAATATGTCCATAGAATGAGTGTATTTGAAATGAAGATGTTGAAATTGATAAGTGACAAGACAAGAAAGGATTGAATTTGGATAAATACATTAAAGGGACTCAAGGGTTACTCCAATAGGTGATAAAATAAGGCAAAGTGTAGGTGGTCTGATCATGTACATCGTCGACATATAAGCACACCACTTAGGAAGGATGATTTGTTTCAAATAAAAAGCTCTAAAAGGGCAAATGAAAACCCTTAAGGGCGTATTTGATAAGTGAGAGTTTCTGGCAGTGGAAGTGAAATGTCTCACTTCCATGTTTGACACTACAGTGTGAAAGCTTTAAAGTGCATGTCGTTTTTAGTATTAAAATGGGTTCATTTTTGGAAGACCACTCGTCCATAAAAAATAATTAAAGAGCAGCCTTCCATAATTTATGGAAGAGTCCTTTCCACTCTCAAAAACTCCATGTGGTAAACGCATTCTAAAGGATGTGGATGAAAGTATTAGGAAAAGATAAGATAACTTATGGTTTGACAAAGGGTATAGGCAAATGGTGGAACACGATATGTGTAGCGACCCCAAATAGTTGGAGTTAGTGTAGAAAAAATCGGATGGTTCAAACCAGAACTGCTTGGTTAGATCATAACCAGCCACTGGCTAGTTCCGGTTTCGACCAGTTTTGGTGAACCGCTTGGGATTTAAAAAAAATTCAAAAACATTATATAAAATCCAAAAAAATAAGGGATTTTGTTTGTAATATAATTTTTTTTTTTTTTTGATGTTTTTCATAATTTTAGCAAAGATTGGAATTTTTTTTGGTCATTAGTACTTATTTTTACAGTTTCCCATATTTTTAAAAAAATTTCAAAAAAACCCTTAGGCACAAATCAACTATTTAAAAGTTATCTTTTTAATTAATTTTGAACTTCATTGGATATGCTTTGTTTAATCATGCTTTAAATTTATTTTTTATATTTTAGTAGATTTTATTTTTTTGTATATTTTTTTATTTTTTTACACTTTTTTGACTCCTCGAGATTGGCCTGGTTAGGCCGGTACCGGTTAGTACCGAGTAACCGCTTCCGGCACCATATCCGGTTAACTGTTCCAATTTGACTTTTTCTACACTAGTCGGAATAAAGCTCTGAAGGTGTGTGATGATCTACAGGGAAATTAAATATGAGAAAATTTATTGACGTACCCATAAGAGATAAATTGATTAACATTTTGCTCATTTAAAACTATTCCAACACAGGACCATGATTTTTTGTGTTAAATTGTTCCCGATAATTTCATAAATTTTCCTGGATACATTCCTCTACCTAGCATTAGGCCCTTTGGACATATTGGTAGCCCTGCCTTATATTTACATGGCGTTGTGGTCATCCAAGAAAAAAAGGCACTCATATTGAAAAGAAAAGTGTTTGGTGACTCGGCCAACTCATACTATTTTTGTGCAGTCTCCATATAAAATATATCTTAAAGATGTATTTCCCATTCAAAATTTTAGGGTTTGATAATCTCAACCATGACAATGATTTAACTTAAGAATTTTTTTTTTTCAAAAAATATAAATGTTTTTTTTCAAAAAATATAAATGTTTTTTTTTTAATTCCTTTCTTTGCTGTCCATTTTAACTTTTAATAAATGTAATATTTTTTTATATTCATCTTACAAAAGAATATTCGATAGATAAAAGACCGCACAGTAATAAGTGTGTCGGCTGACTCACCAAAACTTATTGAAAATAGGCATTGTAGCAATTAAAAAAATTATCGGAAAATCTTAGTATTGGCGGTATTTTACCGATCAGCAGAGTTTCATTTCTAAGTAAGTGTTCTGAGAGTGAGAGAGTAGCCCACAAGAGAGATCACCATGTAATTACTGCAAAATCATGTGGAAGCCATAGATCGGGATGATCCAGCTCCCTCTCTCTCTCACAAGCATTTGGTGTTCCTCTCTCTTTTGTTGGGTTTGGTGATACCATATGTTTTGATTAAAAGATTAACGGTATTATCGAAAATAAAAAATAAATTTTATTAGAAAAGAAAAAAATGATATTTTTATAAGAGAGCCAAAAAAGACATAACACCCATCCTTTTGAAGGTCACCTTTTTTGGGAATTATGATAATGGATCTCCAAAGAGGAGATTGGTCCCTAAGAGAGATACATGGTCTCCGAGAGAGAGGTGGTACTCCCATGAGTTTTGGATTTTAGAGAAAGAAAGTCTCTCAGTTGCTTTCAAGGTGCACGTTCCAGTAGCAGTATTGTGGGGGAAAAGAAAGTATTGATTGAAGGTGTTGCTCGGTCGTCAGAGTGGGGATTTAAAAGGGAAGATCAGTGATGATCTTTTATCGATGTTTAGAGATAGATATATCTATATATCTTGTAGCCCAAAACTGTAATCTTTATTGAGATAGTAGATTTTTATTTGTCGAGACTGTGGATATAGCTCTACAGGGTGAATCATGTAAAACATGTGTTATGGTGGTGTATTTTTTGTGTTTGCTTTATGTCTTACACTCGATTTATAATTGTATTAATCTACTTCGTCATTTAATCAATTGTGTACACGATCTTGGGTAGGATCCCGGCATTTAAGATCCCCAAATCTGCAAGCGAGGGGTTCCTGAGAACCCTACATCTCTCATAAGCACAAACATGGTGCTCCTGTCTCTCTCTAATGCGGTGTTCCCATTTGGCTTGGCATATACTACTTTAGCAGAAAACAACAGGACATCGTTGATACAGCAAAAATCTAAGGCACAACACGCATAAAGCCAAATACAAAGGTGTGGAGCAGAGCACAATGAAAAAGGAAACGTACCGCATGGATAAAAGTTGAAGCGTTTTTTTTATAAGATTTTCCTCTAAGAGGAGGTCATTAAAAGTGCTGCTGCTGTTGTCCTAGCAGATTAAATTGCGCCCATGATTTTTTTTCCCTCTAACAATTGATGTTTCTTTTGTCAAAACGTGGGGAAGTGTTTACTATTTTTCCCTGAAGTCAGAATAGATTTTCTTTATTTACTTCTCTCTCTCTCTCACTAGAATTTTTTGTCAAAACATTAGACCTCTCTCTTTCTCTCCCCCCAAAGGACATATAATTGAGAATTCAGACTTGGTCCCTTACATTGCCCAACTTTGGCAGTTGGGCTAACTGAGCAATGTCCTCTCTGTTGCTTCCCCCTGAAAATCCATCTTCTCTGTATAAACCAGAGCTCTCAAATCTCTCTTCACTAGAAACATGCACAACTATGAGGGAATTGAAGCAAATCCAGGCCCAATTCATCAAAACCAATATAATCCATGACACCATTTCAGCGAGCAGGCTCTTACTCCTCTGCTGTTCTCTCTCTAACCCTGGCCAATTAGACCATGCCCGCCGACTCTTCTCTCACTACCCTCACCCCAATGCCTTCATGTACAACACCATGATTAGGGCCTATTCAAATAGCACCACACCAGAAGAAGCTTTCACTCTCTACTCCCAAATGCTCCATCATTCAGCTCCTCATAACACCCATACTTTCCCTTTCTTACTCAAGGCTTGTTCCCATTTCTCCACCTCCAAAGGATTGCAGCAAATTCACTCACAACTCACTAAGAGAGGTTTTCACTCTGAGGTTTATGCACTCAATTCTCTCATCCATGCGTACACAAAACATGGAGGTGTTCAAGATGCACAAAAGGTATTTGATGGACTTCTACATAGAGATTTGGTTTCTTGGAATTCTATGATGGATGGCTATGTCAAAACTGGTAGTCTAGAAATAGCAAGGAAACTCTTCAATGAAATGCCTAAAAGAAATGTGATCTCATGGACTACCATGATTTCAGGTTATGTAGAGAGAGGAGATTATAAAGAAGCTTTGAGCTTGTTTCGCATAATGCAATCTGATGGGATTGAGCCTGATGCTGCAGCTTTGGCAAGCATGCTTTCAGCCTGTGCTAATCTTGGGGCCTTGGATCAGGGGAAATGGCTTCATGCATATATTGATAAGAAGAAAGTGAAATTGGACCAGGTTTTGGCTAGCAGCTTAGTGGATATGTATGCTAAATCGGGTGATATCAATGAGGCACTCAGAGTATTTTCCACGGTTAAGATGAGAAGTGTTTTGGTTTGGACAGCTATGATCTGTGGTCTCGCGATACATGGGAGGCCGGAAGAGGCTGTCAATCTCTTTGAAGAAATGAAAAGAGAGAATATACGGCCAAATGGGGTGACTTTTACTGGGGTTTTGACTGCGTGTAGCTATGCGGGGTTGGTGAACAGAGGGAAGGAGTACTTTGGCAGTCTACAGACAGAATATGGCATAAGGCCTGCAATAGAGCACTATGGGTGCATGGTGGGTCTTCTAGGACAGGCTGGGCTTGTAGATGAGGCAGTAGAACTTGTAAGAAGCATGCCCATCGAACCCAATTCAGTAATTTGGGGTGCTTTGCTTGAAGCGTGTAGAATCCATGGAAAACTCGATTTAGGGGAGAGAATTGGACAATATTTGATTGAATTGGACCCAACTCATGGTGGAAGATACATACATCTAGCGGATATTTTTGAAGCAGCAGGGAAGTGGGATGAATCGGTAAAGGTGAGGAAACTGATGAGAGAAAGAGGAGTTTGGAAGCTACCAGGTTGCAGTTTAATTGAAAAGAATGGTTTTGTGCATGAGTTTGTTGCAGGAGACAAATCTCACCCTAAAGCAGATGAAATCTATTCCAAGTGGGAACAAATTGCTGAAAGATTAAGGCACGAAGGATACATACCTTTGATTGACACTACGATTAGTAATTTAGAAGAAGAGGACAGAGAAACTGTACTCCATTATCACAGCGAGAAGCTCGCGATTGCCTTTGGACTCATCAATACAGGTCCTGGAACCACCATCAGGGTGTTTAAGAACCTTCGGATTTGCAGGGATTGCCACTCTGTAACAAAGCTTATATCAAAGGTTTATGCTCGGGAGATAGTTGTTCGAGACAGGATACGTTTCCACCTTTTCAAAGATGGCTCTTGCTCTTGTAGAGATTATTGGTGAACAAGGGAGTCCTGCAAATTTCTTAACAAAATTGGTCTTACATCATT